GTGTGTGTGTATGTGTGTGTGTGTATATGTATGTATGTATGTGTGTATGTGTGTGTATGTTTATGTATGTGTGTATGTGTGTGTCTGTGTATGTATGTCTGTGTGTGTATGTGTCTGTGTATGTGTGTGTGTCTGTGTTTGTGTGTGTGTGTCTGTGTGGGTGTCTGTGTGTGTGGTTGTGTTCGTGCGGGCGCACCTGCTCACAGACTCCTAGCGCACCTTTGATGTGCCAGGAACTGTAACGAGACAGCTCTGAGTCCCCGGTCCACTCACACTCCTGACCTCTCTCCCATACAGGCTTCTGCTTTTCTCACCCTTTGCATGCGCAGTTTCTTTTAAATGTTTCCCCTCTGCTGACCCCTCTGGCAGACTTGTTTCTGGATCCAGTGCCACATCTGTCCAGGAACCGTCTGGCCTGGCTGTCAGGGGAGACCCCACAACTACCTGGGCAAGTGTCCTGTATCTTTGGTGTATGTGCCTTTGATTGTTGCCCTGGATGAACCCAGGCCCTTACAAAAGGCTTACTTGGCACAGATATCTGTAGTGAGTTCTGAGCCACCCAGTGGCCTGGGACCGTGACAGCCGCCCCGCCCCTCACCGCACCTCTTTCTGGCATTGGCAGGTCCGCACACAACGAACTGGAGAAACGCAGGTGAGTTCCTACCTGGCTTGGTGGTACCAGGTCCCAAGGACGATGTCTCTCAGACCTTTCCTGTCTTGCCGTCCCTCTGGCTGGTGAGGTGGGCTGGCACTGCCCTCCAGAGACCCCTTTCCTTGCAGGAGGGCCCAGCTGAAGCGGTGCCTGGAGCAGCTGAGGCAGCAGATGCCCCTGGGCGTTGACTGTCCCCGATATACCACACTGAGCTTGCTGCGCCGCGCCAGGGTGCACATCCAGGTAGGGTGCCGTGTCCCCAGTGCGCTTATTAGACCGTGAGGGGTGGTGTGGTGTGGAGGGCCTGCCCTCATCCTGTGTGACAACCGGGGTGCTTGTAAAGGTCCCTTTTGTTATGGTATTACTTAGGTCCTAGCAGCGAGACCGTTTAGTTCCGCAGAGTACGTGCCTGTTGAAAATAGTCTTGTTAGCCATGTGATTCGGTGGACTGTAGAGGGCTGGTACCTGCCCCCTCCTCCCGGCCTTCAGGGCTTACTGGGTTTGGGTTCTGCTGGTGTCATGAAAAGGGCAGAGGTGAACCACTAGCTCGTCAGACCTGGCTTTGCCACTGCCTGGGTGGGATTGCAGGCCCCCTGGTGGACAGGAGTGGGTATTGCAGATGCCAAGGCCTAGACTGTGCCAGCTATGAGGGCATTTTAGAAGCTGCCTTCTAAACAAGAGGATTTTCCCTGCCTTCTGGGCCCATTTGATGAGAGGAAACAGATACGGCCAGACTGGAGGCACAGCAGGTGAGGCAGACTCAGCACCAAGAGGATAACGCCTGTCTACCTTATCAGCAGACATTTATTAAGCTCCTCTGTCAGGCTCTAGTCAATGGCCACGGCAGTCTGTGCCGTCAGCAAATACATCGTGGCTGTAGGGCATATTTGCACCATCCCATAGGTGCATGCTGTCACCGTCATTGTTCTGGTTGTCACATAGGCTCTTGTTTCTCCTTTGACCTCATTTTCAGGTAGATGAAATGTGTTACTTAGAGGTGGTGGATGGCAAATGGCAAGACGCGGGCAGCATTCCTTCTGGCTTGGCGCCTGCCAGGCTGCTTTCTACACTGCATGTAGGTCTATCTCCAAGGTCCATCCCCAGCTGGAAACCCTGACAGCACACAGCCAGCCTCAGCACCTACTTCAAGCCTCTCCCTAATGCAGGCCTGGCTTTCTTGGGCTCCACACAGCCCCACGACAGCTTTCTTAGGGTTCTCTCCCTACCAACCACAGACAAAGCTGGCCTCTTTAAGCTTCCCAGGGTCCTTCTACCTTGGTGGTAGCCCAGCCCCACATCTTAGTCTAAGTGAAGGACACGCAATCTTCTGCACCTTGTCTTGAGTATTCTGCCTTATTCTCCTCTTCTTGTCTTAAAAAACAAAAACAAAGTTATTATTTGGATGGGAGGAGAATCAAACCCAGGGCCTCGCCTGTGCTGCGCAAGCACCTCACCGCGCTGCTTCTCCAGTGAACTAGTAGCCTCCAGGCTCTAGTACAACAATTTAAATTAGTTGGCTGCACTTCAAAGAACACTTGACATGAAGAATGTGGCTCCACCTTTTTAATTAATGGAGCAAGTGGACAGTGCTGGTCTTTTGACCATGTTCAGCAATGGTCTACAACTTAGGCGTGGCCATATCCTTCAGCCAGTTCTGACTGTCAGGATGCTGCAGCCTCTCCACCTGTTTCCCAGTTTGTACTGGCATTATATTCCACCCTAATATGTGACTAGGCTCTAGGGGCATTTGAGATTGGGGTACCCTGCCATCCACAGCCATCTAGACAGATCTTTGTATACAGAAGGGCAGGAGGTGATGGCCTCCCGGAGGATATGAAACCACCTTGGGTTGGTTTATGTGGTTGCCTGTCTGGCATAGACAAAGGCCCCGGTGGCCACAGAAAGGTCAGGCCCTGGGCAGCTGACCCTAGTCCCTGCCCCCGGGGATTCTGCAGAAGCTGGAGGAGCAGGAGCAGCAGGCCCAGCGGCTCAAGGAGAAGCTTCGCAGTGAACAGCAAAGCCTGCAGCAGCAATTGGAGCAGCTCCAGGGGCTGCCCGGAGCTGGAGAGCGGGACCGACCCCGAGCTGACAGCCTGGACTCTTCTGTTCTGTCCTCTGAGCGCTCAGACTCAGACCAAGGTGAGTGGAGCAAAGGGGTAAGGGCTGGGTTGTGGGCAGGCGGGTGGGCGGGGCTCCTGATGGGCAGCTCCTCTCTCTCTCTCTCTCTCTCTCTCTCTCTCTCTCTCTCTCTCTCTCTGCAGAGGGTGGAGGGGGGGGTGGGGAGGGCCTGGTGTTTGGGA